ACTCAAAAATCTTATTAAAACCAAAATCTTCCAAGTTTTCAACTTTGCAATTTTAAAATCCTCACATACGCATACGGACGCACGCACGCGCAAAAAAAAAAAAAAAAAGCAAAAAAAAAATGGTTTCAAACCTACCGTCCGAATGCGTTCAAGAAATAATAAAGCACATCGACGAAACCGACATAACGTCCTTGCATTCCGTCGCCCTCCTGAATCGCACCTGGTGTCGACATTCCATACCGGTCCTCTGGAAGAAACCTTTCTGCCTGAGGGATTCCGTCACCAATCTTCACATGATAATTCCCATCTACCTCTCATTCCTCTCCGACGAAACAAAGATAAATCTCAATATCGACGGCATGCGCCTGTCCACCAAGGCGTCATTCAATTATCCCGAGTTCGTGCATGAGCTCGATTTCATCGGGTTACAGATGACCGTCTATCGTTGGTGGTCGAGGTACAACAGGGATGAGTGGGACGACGATTCTGATGAGGAGGAGGACCGTTATTATGACTCGGAGGATGAAGACGATGATGAGGAGGCCGACTATGAAACCCAGGAACGTTCGGTGGCCATAAGCGAGGAAATATTTAAGTTGGTCGTGGATAGATCGAAGAAGCTCGACAGCTTCACCATCGATCTCAAGGACAATTCCCGATGGTCCCCTAATGAATTTGATCATTACCTGACAGTGTTATTCTCATCTTTTGGAATGACCGAGTGGCTGAAGAAGTTGAGGGTACTGAAGTTGACGGGGCCATTTCCGAAGTCAACGTTTCTAAAGGATATACTGAGTGTCAATCGAAATCTCTCGATTCTCACCATCGAGGACCGAAAGAACGACGAAGCGTTAAACTACGACCTGAGCGATTTCATTAAGACGCAACATAACCTAAAGGAGTTCAGCTTTGTCAGCAACTCGGAGGATGTCTCGCCCATGCTCGCGGCATTAACGGAGCGAGCGAGTTCCTTGCGTAAGATTCAGATTACGAACGGGGTGATCCTCGAAAATCTCATCATAGAGACTTTGACCCAATGCTCGCAGTTGGAATCCATTTGCTTCCAGTCACTCCGACTCTCCAGGAATCAACTGAAACCTTTCTCACGGACGTCTTTTCCAAAATTGAATTCACTTTACCTCATGGACATCGATCTCGCATGGACCGAGAAGGAGACGAAGAAATCCAAAGATAAGACCATGCAAAACATCATCCGAACCTACGGACCTCGACTTGAGAACCTTGGGCTGAGAATCAATCTCGCCGCATACACCGGTGTTCTCGAGTCCGTGGCAAAGAGCTGTGGTAATCTAAAAACATTCGTCACCCGAATCGAGACGGCCAAAGAGATTCCAAAATTATTTGATGTACTCAAGAGTTGTCGAAAATTCGAGTCGCTGATAATTCACGAGACCCATTGCACGAACCTGTTCGAGGCGAACGACATCATGTTCGAGATGGCCGGCTTGATACCATCGACCCTCGTACATTTGGATTTGACAAAGTGGGTGATTTCCATCGAGATACTCGTGGGATTCTTGATGAGTTGCAACGCGAGGTTGAGAACCTTGACATGTCATTGTCACGGAAGTTCCATCGGGAAGGAGGACATGATCCGGAAGTACACGAAGGAGAGTGGAAGGGAAGTTAGGCGAATTGTGATAAACAACTATTTCACGATGTCAAGAGTTTTCGTGGAGTGGAATTGATTAATAGCGTGCATATGAAGCACGAAGCGGGATGGGGTCAGGGCACGCGGGTGTATTTATATCTCGAGGCGCGTGTCCTTCCTTCATTTCGAGCTTTTTTTTTTTTTTTTTTTTTTTTTTTTTTTTTTTTACTAAAAATGAGAAAAAAAAAAAAAAAAAGAAGGAAGGAAAAAGCCTAATGTTCTACGTGCAGCATTTTGTTCAGGGACACTGGTAAATAGGCGAATTCATTCTATTTCTGTCATTCTTCATGCTCGCGTGACTTATTCACAATTGAGCCACAGCAGATGACTCTAAATGTCAATACATTTTGATATATGTTAATCTCCAAATTAAACTCTCCCTACTTTCCAACTTGCATGAATAAACCATTCACAAAGACAATTTTTCGGTGGCTTCTTTTGTTTATCAAATAAAGACACTAATCATACATGGATTATTGTACCATATTAAAACTGATGTTCACTGTGACCACATGCCTAATTAGTGTTTCGCAATACACTTATTATGCATTACAATTAAAGTTAAGAGTGTAATTAATAACGTAAGAGGATGCTTCAATGAGAGCGGTGTTTCCCAAATGTAAATTCCACTCGTATAAATTGGACGCCAATTTTATTACGAGAAAAGATTTCGTATTTTTTTTTTTTTTCCTTGTTTTTGTTTCTTCCTCTTCTCCTCGTAATTTGCAAAATAATACCACCATTACCAAAAGATGGCGCCGCCACTCCCATCGGACATTCTCTCCGAAATTCTTGCATACTTTCAAGATCCGCATCATGTTCACAACGACAAACTAACTCTGTATTCATGTGCAAAGGTTAACAAGTCTTGGTGCGACGTCGCGGTTCGTTATTTGTGGAGTGACACCATTAATTTTATCTCGTGCCCAAAAGCCATCCTCACATTATTGTCTTTTATCCCCAACGAATCAAAAGAACTCTTAATACGGAGCGGGGTTCCCTTGATTAAAAATAGCTCGCATCCATCGCCGGAGAAACCTCCGCTATTCGACTACCCCTCGTTCTGCAGGACATTGACCATCTCACATGTCGGTCACTTTTGGAATTTCGAGGAAGAAGCGGACGTCATCGAACACGACTACAAGGTGTACCTGATTAAACAAGAATTATACAAGCTCTTTATCTCAAGGAGCCCGAGAATCAGGCGACTCACCCACACAATTCACCTCACTCACTTTCCCGGTGCCTCGTCGTGTCTGTTTCCACTGGTGGAATTCGTGTGTGACACAAATCTACCCCACGACATTCTTTATGGAATGGCTCAGATATGCAAGAACTTGAAAAAATTAATCATCAAGCAATATCACGATGACAATCAGGCATTGTCAAAGCTCATAAAATCACAGACTGATTTGCGGCACGTGGAAATTGACACCGAGGTCGAATGTGATCCCGGCGATTACGGCGATTACGTGTATTCCAACATCGGTCATGCCTTGACAACGGTGGCACAGTCGATCAGGCATTTGTCACTTGGTGGCAGTCGGCCGTGTATCCTGATGTACACGATGAAATATTATGTCAATTTGAGATCCATTAGATTGTTTCATTGCGGGGAGGACGCCGACGAGATGATGGAAATGTTGAGTCGCGTGAATTTTTCGAGCCTCGGGATTCTTGAGGTGGACTACGAGGCTCCCACGCTGTTGAGTTTAACGAAATTCGTGCTGAACAATGGTACAAATCTAGAGGAGATCTCATTATACTGTTTGATTCCGCCGGATCCCGAGCATTCTATACTGTTCAACAGGGCCGTGGCGCAGAGATGTAGGAAATTGGAGTTCCTCTCTTCATTTTTCGTTGACACCGAATTCCGGGACCTGAAGGAGATTCTCGTGAACTGCACTCACCTAAGAGGCTTATACATTCGAACCGGAAATATCCGACTCAACGGCGACACCTTATTGGACATGTTGCAACAATTCGCGCCACCTCAACTCTCGAGATTGTGCGTGGGAGGCGAATGGGAGTTCACCACCGAGAGGCTGAAGGAGTTCCTGGAGCACGTGTGGAGGAAAGACGGGAGACAGATTACCATCTATCATCATTACGAGAATATCATAGATGAGGAGAAGGAGGACGCCTTTGAGTTTAGCGAGGAACAAGGAGATATCATTAAGACATATCAAATGTCAAGTTTTGACTTGGGTTTGGTGGGCCTGAAAGAGATGTTCTCTTGTGAATGGAATCCATTTTACTACGATTTCTCGAGGTATTAGCCGAATAGGGAATGAATGCCAAAAATGGATTTCCCATCGATTCGATTTATCATTGTACATTTTGTAAATATTTTCGCGACACGGAATTATGACTCGGATCCACGAAATCTACACTTTCTTTATTAATATAACATCATGAGAATAATTGGGTACAGTTTGGTTTATCATCGTTCGTACTGGATGTGAGGAAAATTGTGTGAAGAAGCGTATTTTACACCAAAATTCCAAATAGGTCACACGGAAGAGCAACGTCCAGATATGATGAGCGTTGAAATCCATAAATACATATATTATTATAATTAAGTATTCAGACCAAATCATGAAAGCGGTCGGAATAGACAGCAAGAGAAATTTATTTACTTGATGACACCACTTTCACGTAGTCATCTCATCATATTATGTCATTATTACACACAGTAAATTCATCTGCCTTTAAACAGAAGACACTAAGATTATTGATTATTCATGTCTCTTTTTTTTTTCTTTTTTTTTTTTTTTTTTTTTATGTGCGAAAATAAAGAGAGAAATGTACAGTACAGTATACGGTGCATATTATTTCGAATTCAAAATTCTGTCACAGTGCCCGGGCAAGGATAGATGCGGAGCAAATCATGGAAAGGGGGAGGGGGTGAAAGGCGGCACAACTGTATTAAAAGAGGAAAACTTTTCGCCTTCTCAAGTTCTGCGAGACATTCACTGCACGCATGCCAAATTACTCTCACGTGATGATATCCAAGTAGATTAAGTAATGATCTTCATATGTGAGATACTATAATGGTTCAACCAAAACTCCGTTTTGGTAACAATAATACCATTTTCATTTAATATATTTTTAATATACGTGATGATCACAGTGTTTTGCGTGTCTTCTTTAGGAAATTTTTTTACAATAAAAACCTGTTCCTATGATCAACGCAGATCAATGGTTACGCCCTGTTATTGTTGTCCATGACTACAACTTGTGTGAACCCGAATTGTTGAATGCTAAGGCAGTTGATTCCTTTCTTTGCTTCCAACTAAATGTCGTCTGAAAAGATTGATATTTCCGATCTTCCCTTTGAGCTATACGACGAAATATTCTCCTGCTTTGAAGACGATTTACGATCCCTCTACTCATACCTCCAGGTGAATCGTTCTTGGTGTCGGAGAGTTGTCAAATACATTTGGCGTTTTCCATTCCCTGATGATTACAATCGAAGAAGATGTGACATCCAGGTTCTCTTTCCCTTGTTCAACAACGAAGAAATCTCCATCTTAACCGATGTTGGAATCAATCTACCAACATCGCAAGAACCATTGTTCAACTATGCATCATATGTAAAGGAGATAAATATCATCGGCATGGCATTCGGTGCGAAGAAATGGATTAGCACACAGACTTCCGTCAAATTAGATATGGACACCGTTTCGACCATGGTGATGGCCCTATCAACACTACTCTTGAGAAACACCAGTAAGATAAAGAGTTTAACGTTGTTCGAACAGTTTGGATTTCGCGATTTTCTTGACTCGATGATACTCAATGATGCCCCATCACGGTTTAAATTCGTCAATCAACTCACGATCTGTCTAAAATACAACTCATTCAACACTTTGATCGACGAAAAATTGAATTTATTGCCTGACTTATCCAAGAATTGCACAAATATCAAACATCTGACCGTGTCTAATTTCAATAAAAATGATTACAAACGCTTTGACTACGTGATATCTTTCCTTCGGTCGCAAAAAGAAATATCGATATGTCGGTTCTACCGTCTCGAATTCGATTTCACGTCAACCTTTAAGAGTTTGATATTACCACTTTTCAATTCCTTGAGAGTTCTCGTGCTCCATAATCTTTCGCGTCAATTTCGACTAGGGTTCTTATATCTGTTTCCCAATTTAGAAGCTCTGGTCATCAGGGCAGAATTCTACCTGCCGGTGGAGGATTCCGAGGATTGGAAAAAGTTTATGCAAGCTCCCAGCAATATCAAATCGCTTAATCTCGCTGGTCTACCCGAGGAAATTACTGTTGATCTTATAAAGAAGTCGAACGCAAAATTGAAATGGCTGACCATGGAATCAATGCCAACAGAAGTCCTTGAGACAGCGATTTGTTTTTGCAAGAACATAACCCACCTGACGTTAAGGTATATGAAAATGGATATCTTAAAGATTCCAAAGATGCTCAATAGTTTACACCACCTCTCGAATTTCACGATTGATCCCTGGGATCATGATGCAACGGGGTTCGTGGAGGAGTTGTCGAAATTGGAACTGAAGCACCTGAGGTATCTGGATTTGGTCCTTCACATTAGACCAGAAACATTTAAAGTATTTTTGAAGAATGTAAAGTTTCCGCTAGAGGTGTTGATAATGAAGGGTTATAAGTTTCTGGATGGACACGTGGAAATGCTGATGGAGTATGTGGACAGGCAAAAAGTTGATCAAAGGTTCAGGTGGCTGGGATTAGTGACGATGAGACCGAAGGAGGATTGGAAAAACAAATTTCTCATGGAGAAAGTTGAGATGGCGAAAGGAAAATTTGGTGTGCTTCCGGCGGAAAAAGCTAGAATCTCGGAGGGATGGGAGATCAAGAGCCTATTTTGATCATAACCCGTACGCTCACTGGATCTTACTTTGTAAAATAGTAATTCTTGAAAAGATTCATCTATCAAAAAAAAAAAAAAAAAAGCTTGTGTATATATAGTTGTAGATGCCGTGCGCCAATAAAAAGTCGTCCGACAAGCCGTATATTCTTTTTCAAAAAATTGATATGATTTCACCATTTCCGTTGATATTATATTAATTAGCATCGCTAATGAAAGACCCACGGGCGTCGGTTGGCACGTACATCAATATTTATTAATTCTTTACTTTATGCATCAGACGAATAAAACATTATTGAAGATACAGTATATAATTTATTACGTAAAATCAGATGAAATAAATATTCAACTGATTAACGCCAAGAGTTCATGTCAACTTCCTAATCAAGAATTCTGCGAGGAAGCATGTTGACTTGATCTCAACCCAATAAGGAAGGTGACGCACGTTAACGCCGACACCAACAGTAACACCTGTTATTTTATGTCCTTCCGCTAAGCGTCACGCTAACTGTCGGAAAGGTCGACTTTTAAATACTGTATATGGCACAGTGAATTTTATACAATCTATCCAAAGTTTTTATTTTTCCTTGGTCAGTTCTAAATCTCACAAGTCTTTTTTATTAAAACAAGGTTTAAAATTATTTTTCAAATATATTTTTGAAATTTAAATTGTTTCTTTAATATACTGTATTTTAGAATTCAAGATTGTTTGTTGAAAATATTTTTGGAATTCAAATGATTCTTCAAATATATTTTAAAATTCAAACTATTTTTTAAAATATATTTTAGAATTCAAATTATTTATTTTTGAATTGCAATTATTTTTCAAATATATTTTTAAATCAAAACTGGTTTTCAAATATGTAACACCCTTCAATAAATAAAGAATCACTTGAAAATCATTAAAATTAATTAAAAATGGTTTTCATAAAATTTTTATTAAATTTTTTTCTTGTTTTAATTAAAATTTGAACATTTACATAATTCTTACAATTATTGTTTTATTAAATAATTTATTATTAATGCATCTAAATATTATTTGAAATCCAAAGTATATAAATTTCAAATTTTATAAAATTTTTGTTTAACAAAATAGGATTTTCTTTTGAATATCAAAAATCTATTTAATATATATTTATTATTATTGTTATTTTTATTTTTTCATTCATAATTATACCATCATAGCTTGTCTTTTATTGAAATATTAAATAAATATTACAATATTATATGGAGTTTACTAAATTAATTTAAATTAAATAAAATTAAGTTTTAATTAAATATTTTAAGTTAGATTTAGAGAACAATATTTCATTTTCATAATAATTTGAATTTAATCTTTAACCATCAGAATTATTATTAATAGTTTATAATTATTAATTATTTTAAAAAATAAATTATTAAAGTCAACATATATATAAATTCTTTTTATTAATTCTTTAGTCACACATAAAAAAGATATTCACAAGAAATTTTTATACTTCCTTACTAATAAAGTCTTAATACTTTTCTTAAAACAACTTGAAGTATAATTTCAAAAGTCACTTCTACCCTTTCTTTATTGTCTTCAAATCTCTTCACTCAAAAACTTGACTCCTAGTAATCAAAAAATGTCAAGTAATACCTTTGATACCAACAGTAAAAAAGTTTACAAAAAAAAAAATTTGATTGCAAAGTACCCAAAGATCTTTTTAACCTTTGAAACAATAGGTTTATAGAAATTTTCTATAGTAAAAAGACTTATTTTTTTTTTAACTATTTTGACTCTCTTAGAAATTCTACTCTTATGGTTTTTTGAAGAATTTTATCTATTTCAGTTGACCTTAAATTTTAAATAATATAAATTATTATCAAAGGTAATTGACTAATATGAAACACATTAGTTTTTAAATATAAATAAGTTTCTATTTGTTATACTTATATATCTTGACACATCATTGGTAATATAAAAAAGAAAATTCTAGAAAAAGTGTTTTTTTAAACTATATATATTCAATTTCTAAGAAATAATTATAATATTAAAAGATGAGTGACAACTAGAAAAAAATATCTGACTCATATCTATTATTAAGTTCTTCAGATAGTGAAAAAACTTTTTTGAACAAAAGTTGAGATCTCCAAGCTTCTATTTTAATTAAGCAAAGTTCTTGAAAAGATGTTTTTATCTTGATTAAGTAAATTTTTTCATAATATAATATTGTTTTTTTTTTTTTTATTATAACCCTCTGTCAGGCTAATTATGTGTGCTTTATTAAACAATTGTAAGCTGTACATTATACATGTGACGCTAAAGCTAATTCTCTAACTAACTCAC